CTCTCTCTCTCTCTCTCTCTCTCTCTCTCTCTCTCTCTCTCTCTCTCTCTCTAAGTGGCAGTGTATATTTCCATGTTCTAGTCGAAGATGCATTTCTATTTTGCTCTTCCTGTCGATTGGAGCGGGGACATCTACCACCAAAGGCGTTGCTGCAGATTGCAAGGTGGGAGCACGACCCCTGAACGAACGACTGTTGCCGCCCAATTTCAAAAATGGTGACCACCAACCCTCCTGAACCGAGTCCCACCAGAAGCCAAGAACGGGAGGGCCTTCTACCGGTACCTGCTCCCAGGCCAGGCCAGGCCAGGCCACGGGAAGCCGAGGCCACCTCCCGTTTTTGCCAATTAGTGGCCTCCCGTTTTTGCCAATTATTGAACTGGTGGCCCAGTCTTGCAGTGGACTGTTATTTCTGCGAATTCTGAACTGTGCAGCGGTTTAGGGCGCAGTTTTTCCTAAAGAAAATTACATGATGTCACTGCTAGCATCTTTCCCCGAATAGAACGGAGTCCGACTGTGATTACAACTGTGTTTGGGACAGCTTTTAGTCCATATACTGTGATAATGGCAGTCGAACGCATAGGTTACTGTTTTTCTTGCAGTTTCTAAACTGGTATTGGCCCAATCTTGCCGCGAACTGTTATTTCTGCGAATTCTGAACTGTGCAGCGGTCACAGTTGCAGTTTTTTCTAAAGAAAAGTGCACGATTTCACTGCAAGCATCTTCCCCAGAATAGAACGGAGTCCGACTGTGATTACAACTGTGTTTGCAACAACTTTTAGTTTATATACAGTGATAATGGCAGTGCGTTCTGGTCGGGTGAAGACGGGGGCATCTTCCACAAAACTCAAGGGCAACGTCATCATGGAGGTACTGATCCGACTGGGAACATAGCTTATATACTGTAATATACATTCATCATGATCAGGCGAGGGGAGAAGGAACATGGCAGCAGCCAAAATCGTGCAATTTCTTCTGTTTCTTTTTTTTCCCTTAGGTGACCGTGACGGCCTGGTATAGGGGTGAGGTAGGCAGGGTTGGGCTGCTGAAAGGCCCTAAGGCAGGTGTTTTTTTCATTCTGAATGCTCCTGTGATTTGAGCTTTGGGGGATAGAGAATTGTAGTGTTCTTGTGTAGATTACTACACAGTTGTCTTTCTTAGCCGAAACCTGAGGGCCCACAAAGAACTTAAAAGAATCCAAGTTACAGCAATACCTAAGGAGGCAATTCCGGTGTGCTCATTGTTTGCTGATGATCTGACACTGATGGTGGATGCCTCCAAAGAATCAATGGAGGAGGTGCAACACATGATGGATCGCTTCTGCACATTGTCAGAGATGAAAGTTAACTGGGTTACTGGGGGAACAAAACCCTTGGATGGTGGATACACCACCAAGGAGTGAGACCCCCCTAACAACCTAGAATTAACTAGCTCCCTAAAGAAAGCCCCATTAGGGTGCTTGGCATCTCCATGACGGCGAAAGGCAGAACCCCAACAAATAACGAGTGGATCTCTACCCCCCCCTTGGCCAAAATGGCTCTTTGGAGGGACAAGCACACCTCGCTGTTCGGTCGTGCCCTGATCATCAACAATGTCGTTCTGGCCTCGATGTGGTATAAATCTGCCATTTGGGCCTTGGATAAGAATGCCTTACGCCCGCTGCAACGCCAGATTGCCGCTTTCCTTTGGCGAGGTGACCACGAACGACGAAATGTATTGAGTCGGGTAGCCCGGCACTCTATTATCCAGCCCAAAACTCGGGGAGGTCTGGGCATCATCGACCCCCTATTGCAAACTAAAGCATTAGCCCTGCAATGGCCCAAGCGCCTCCTTTTCAACCCTGAGATCCCCTGAAGAGGGTTAGCTCTAGAACAGATCTCACGGCTAGCACCACAAACACCAAAAGAGATCGACCCATTGATGTGGCTGGAAAACAGAGAATGGCCCATCCCTCGAACAAGAGTGTCACAAAGGGACTCCCATTCATAATGGCCCAAGCAAGCAACCAAAGCCGATCTGCGACACGACCCCTTCTGGCCCACCCTCCTCAGGACATGGAGGAGTCTGCCCCCCCCAGACAAAACAACGCCAGAAAGATGGGAGGAGGTGGCGCGCCAACCCCTCTTTGGAAACAGATGGGTGGTAGACTCGACGGGCCGCATGCTCCTTAGCACGGACACCCCCTAGCGGAGCTGGATCAAAAAAGGGGTAATAAGGATTAAGGATGGATGGGATGGGGATAAGAAGGACTGGATTGGACCTGACCAGCTCCGAGAGAGACTACGGTACTGCCACCGGCCGCACGAAGCCCTGGAGAGGCTAATAGAGATGATCCCACTAGCGTGGTGGAGAATACTCCACAGAGGCCCCTCCCTGGAAAAACTGGACTGGGTTGCAGTTAGAGACCAGCAAGGCAGTGTGGGTAGGGTGGTCCGCTGTCCCCAGGACGGAACAATAGTTGTGCGGCTTTCACCGCTGGGGCAGATCAACGTCATCCAAAGAGCATCCGCCGACGCTAATCTAACATGCCAAATAGAGGAGGTCTATAGAATTCGAGTGCTACAAGAGAATGAGCAATGGATAGCTTACTATCCCGACACCCCCCTGCAACACCTGGCCCTGGACCCGATAGAGTGGTCATGGTCAACCCAAGGTAGGTAAGGCAAGAAATTCACAAAAACCTTATATGCCTTGACTGTCAAGTCTGCCTATAGGCTCCTACGACCGAAGGCTGTGGGGGAACGCTGGACAAACCACCTCAACGTTAGTAAACGGGAGTTGCAACCAATTCGATAGTTCAGAACAGTCAAGGAAAACCCAGCCAAATTGACCTCGCTCCAATGGCAGATAGAGCATCGCTGCCTTCCAACTAACAACTGGATCATTGATAGAACGTCCCTCGAACAACAAGGACGGACCCTTCCATGGTGCAAACTTTGCACAAATGCGTTCCCGTCCCGAAAAAGGCCCGAAACAATCGAACGTATATTTCTCCAATGTCCAGGGGCACTCTGGTTATGGAGATGGTGGGACCGAGTGTGGGATCATTTGGGGACAAAAGTCCAATGGCCCTAGGATTGGAAGGCCCTACTGTGCGAAACTTGGCCCAAGAGCCTGACAGAGCAAACGAACGATTTCACAAGGAACATGCTTAGGATGGGACGGCGGGCAATTCTCTGGGCACTCTGGCGGCCACGCTGCACCTTCGAAATGGAGGGGGCGCGATTGAAAGGCCCTGAATTCACTGAGAGCGTCCAGCAACAGATTCAGACAGAAATAATTGCAAAATGGAACGAGGTAAAGGCACGACTTCAACTCCTTCATAAGCGAAGTGACATCAGACAAAAAATCCGGGACTTCAGCTCAAACTAGCTTGGGGATGCAAATGGAGGGAGGGTAGGTAAGGTGGAATGGAAGGGAGAGCACACAGAACGCACAGCTTCAGGGAAGGGTCAACCAGGGTGGAGATCATCAGAGACTACCACCTGCAGTTCCATGAATGGACCCAAGTGGACGCCTCGACCCCACTGAAACCTCCGGAACAATTCCCAAACTTCTTTCCCCCTCCACCCAATTGTCTAGTGGATATGACGTGGTATGGAATGGACTCTGTAGGACACTAGGGGGGACTGTATAGGAGTTAGCCCGAGAGATTCAATGCTGGCACGTTGTCCTCAAGTCACTAGTCACAACGAGAGGAGGACCTTCTTGGGATGATCAGGGCAATCAATGCTGGCAGACCTCACTGATACCACTCCCGTTGTTCCCAAACATTCTCATTTTCTGTACAAGGGACGTTGGACCCGTTTTCCAGCAGGTGACGCTCCCGAGTCCCCACCAATAGATGGAGCCTCCCTCCTGGAGGTAGTGGTGTCTGCTCTTATCAGCAGCACTAACATCGGTGGGGGCTGGTTTAAAAAAAAAAAAAAAAAAAAAAAAAAAAAAAAGCAGCCCTATGATGGCTCCGGTATCAACAGGATTTCTCCATAAATTTCTCAATTTCTCAATATGATCTTCAATGGGACGTTGGGCCCAGCTCCCAGCATGTGCTGCTCCCCATGAATAGATTGGAGCATGTTCCCATTAAAAAAGAAAAAAGAGATATCATCATTGAACTAACCGGCCTCAGTCAACGGCGTCATTAGACACACCATGGGCGTGCGACTCCACGGATTTCGTCGTTATTTCACCTGTCCTCGGAGTCGTTTTTGGGAAAAACAATTTGCAAACACTCTGAGGATTATCCTCGGCCTCCGAGGATTTTCCAGCCAAATCGCCCTCGACTCCAAGGGACCTCGCTAGTCCTTCGGAGCCCGAGGATCCGCAATTGACGAGTCGTTGACGTCCACTGAAGAAGGGAATTTGGAGGCCGAAGGTGGTCCACTCGTGGACCACTGCCCTTATCGATTGACATCGTGGGCTGCCCTCCTCGAATACGTCCTGCAACGACCTCCAGAGTTTACCATTGGCGGCGAGTGGTGGTCTGGCGCCAGTGTCATCCCCCGTATGTCATACGGGGGCTCTCCGTACGGCCCGTCTGTACGGATGGACGGAGGGACCGTCGTACGAAAGTACGGACGGTCTCCGTCCGAATGTGCCAGGGCCCGGTGTGGGGGGGAGGGGGTTGACCCCCAGGGATGGTAGAGGGGGTCTCGACGGACACGTTAGTATTTTTTTTTTTTAAATAAGAAAAACTTTCGTGGTGGAAAAAGGAGAGAGAAAAAAAAAGCAAAACTGAATGAATCTACCGCTAGAACATGAAAATATACATTGTCACTTTTGTTTTTGTTTGTGTGTGTGTGTGTGTGTGTATGTGTGTGTGTGTGTGTGTGTGTGTGTGTTTGCGGGACTGACATGGAAATTGCAGTTTGATGATTTGCCTGCGTTTCCCTCCCACCCAGCCCCCTGTCTGTTTTCTCGCCTTGGTAAGTGCCACGTCAGTTACAGTGCCACGTCAGTTACAGTGCCACGTCAGTTGCAGGACACGTCAGTAGCAGTGCCACGTCAGCAGTGCCCCGACAAGAGTGCCACATCAGCGGCAGGGCCACGTCAGCAGTACCGCGTCATCAACACCGTACAGCTAACTGCAGCTTATGCTCCGACGCAGCAACGGCATCACAGTACGAGAAGGGCGGGCAGTCGCAGCAGAACAGCAGCTACCTCTGCCCCACCCCTCTGAAACAGACACCCAGGGTAACCCCACGGTGGACAACTCCGCATCCGCCAGTCCACGTGAGGCGTGCAACTCGAACCCCTCGGCCCCACAGGCCCAGCAGGAGGGTTCCAATGCGACTTCTGCGGGAACCCTCGACGCTGCACCAGTCCGACAGCAAGGAGAGACCATGACGGCCTTCTTGGCCCGCCTGGGCACCTATATGCAGCAAGTCCAAGAGGAGCAGCAACGCGAGGCGGCAGCCAAAGCAGCACGCCTTAATGTCATGGCACACGCAAAAGAGCAACGACGCCGGCAACAAGCTGACGCAGCTGCCAACCACAACAAAGCTCGAAGAGATGTCACATTTGTCCTCATGCAGCAGGAAGCTGCTCATACCGCCGCACTCCAAGCATGGCATGTTGATCCGGCGGAAACGACGGAACCAACTACGGACGACCAGATAAGTCAGCTCTTGCCAGCATGATTCACAAAGTCATCCTCACTTGTAACTGGCAACAAGTGGAGTTGGCTCGGCAGGCACGTACCATTACTGAGTATGGGGAGACTCTCAAGAGCCTCCACACCTGCCTTGACATGTTGGAGAAGGATGACGTGCCGCACAGGCACACGGCATCGTCCAACATGGATCCACCAATCCGCGAGCTGGAGGAACGACTGGATCACTTGGTCGCACTTGTCAGCGATTTGAACACTTTCCGACACCCGACGACCATCAGTTAGCAATTAGCCGCCCGGCAGGCGGATCTGCGTTAGCTGCAGCAGCAACCAACCGGGACCTGCAACAACTTGACGCCTAAAGAGTACAAGATTATGAAGTTCAGCATCGACAAGTTTGATGACTACCACAAGGCGGACCCCATCAGTTGGTGCCAAGGGTTCACCAATGAGCTCTCCAGCACCGGTGCCAGCCAAGTGTGGCACGCGAAGTCATCCAAACCAATCGGTGGGTCCCGCACGAGTCGAGGATCTTAGCGCTTTACCTCTGCAGCACTGGTGCCAGCCAAGTGTGGATCAACCACCTGGCTCAAACCGAGGGCGTCGAAGTCTCTAAGCTTCACACCAAGATCACTTGGGAGGCCATGACTGAGAAGTGGCGGAAATGCTTGATCGTCGACGAAGCTCAGGGCAAAGGCATGAACCGGATCTTCAGCATGCATCAAGGCAGCCAGCCAACACGCGAATGGCTAACCGAGTGGCTGAAAATCGTGACGATTTCGAATTTGGACATCCCATTCGTACATCTTCATCGCGAATTCTTCCAGCAGTTAATTGACGCGTTGAGCACGACCCTTGGGGAGCGCAGCCTATACACGGACTTCGACCAGATCATGGAGAAGGCGCACGAAGTCATCCAAACCAATCAGTGGGCAGCCAACGAGCGGCGAAGCCAACCAAATTTTGTGAAAAAGGGCAAAGGCCCACGGCCGCAGCAAATCGCTGCTGTCCAAGGAAATGGACAAGAAAACGATCAAGCAATGACTCCCGAGTCTAGTAAAGGAGACGGAGTCAACGCCCTTTCTGCCATGACGCAACAACAAGCAAAAGGAAGAAGAAGGCGAAATTTGCATCAACAACGAAAGCCGGACAACCGAATGAGTCATGGAAGAAGTTCAGCCTCACGGAGGAGCAATACAAACTCCGCCAGGGGTGGAACTGTTGCTATTGGTGCAACAACACCAAGCATACGACGTCGCAATGCCCTGACAAAGGCAAAGAAGACGTCCATCCACGACAAAGCTTGGGAAACTGAGCTTCGCGGGAAGTGAGGCGACTCCACTTCCTACTCCGCCGGACACGATTGCCTTGCTAACAACCTCCTCCACGTCCGGGAAACATGCGTATGTCGCCAGTCTTCGCGAAGATTTTGAAGACTATGTTGTCCAGATGGTCCCGCCGTTGGACCAACCTCTCCACGTGCAAGACTCAATTGCGTGTGCGACTTCATCACCATCGCCAAGTGAACCAACATCCTCGGCAACATCACTCGGGGACTCGTCAGTGTGGTCTTGACTTGAGGAACTCGACCCATTGACACCAGAGGACTTCCAATAGTTGCCTCTTCCCCCATCTGGTTCCTTGCCGAAGCCGCATTGCAACGCCCTAATGGCGGAGCTACGCAACTACTTGCACGCTGCAGTACCAGCTCCGTTGATGGAAGACGGAGTAGTGGTTGTTGACCTTCGCAAATACATTGCAAAGATTGACCGCGAGTACGCCACGCAACGGTACGACGACACCGACGCACCGTTACACAACGTTCGCATTCAGATCAGAAAGCCGACCTGCAGCGCCTTGATTGATTGTGAAGTTACTCGCAACTACATCAACCAGGATTTAATCACCCGCGCTGGTCTTGGGCCATGCATTCGAAGGAAATCGCAGCCCACGCAAGTCACGTTGACCGACGGTCGTACGCACAAGTCCATTGACCAGTGCATTGACTCCGTCCCCGTGTACTTCGCCCCGCTTGCACGCGAGGTTGTGTCCTTTGACATACTGGACACAAAGTTCGACATGATCTTGGGCATGACATGGCGGCGCAGCGAGGACCACCCGATGAACTTCTACCTCTGCACCGTTCACGTTCGTGACTGGAACGGGGCACTTGTGCCATGTACTGTCCCCCCACCTCATCCTTCGATTGGTTGTCACGTAGTCTCCGCGGCAAGCATTCGCAACTCCATCGCACAGAACGACGTGGAGGAAATGGGCATTTGTTTCTTGCACGCTCTCGCTCCTCCCGACGAGCCAGTGGCGAAACAGCCACCGAATCCACGCATTGTACAACTTTTTTACTCCTATGGCGACGTCTTTGAAGCCCCCGCTGGAATCGTACCGAATCGGCTAATTCGTCATGAGATCATCCTCGAAGACGGGGCCATACCTCCGCGCGGATGTATTTACCGCATGAGTGAGGAGGAACTCGAAGTGGTTCGAACGCAACTCGAGAGGGTCATAATGCCATTCGGCCTCACGAATGCCCCGGCCACCTTCCAAGCGACAATGACAACGGAGTTTCGCGACATGTTGGACCAGTTCGTGCTCATCTACCTCGACGACATCCTGATGTACAGCCGAACTTTGGACGAGCACATTGTGCACCTACGTGTTGTTTTGGACAGGCTACTTACGGCCAAGGCCAACCGAGCCAAGTGCGAATTCGCACAGCAAGAGCTCGAGTACTTGTGCCACTTTGTGACGCCCCAAGGCATCCGTCCGCTTGCGGACAAGATCAAGGTCATCCAAGATTGGCCGGAACCGACCAACACCACGGAGGTTCGCTCTTTTATGGGATTGGCTAGGTACTACCAACGCTTCATCGGCTGATACGCACGGATCGCCACACCCTTGTCAAGATTGTAGTCTTCACATGTGTCCTTCCACTTCACCGATGAACTCCACAGTCCGTTCCACAAATTGAAGACGGCGTTGCTCCTCGCCCCATTCTTGAGTATCTACGATCCCACCTTGCCTACGAGAGTGACTACGAACGCTTTCGGCTGTGGGATGGGTGCAGTTTTGGAACAACACGACGGAGTAGATTGGCATCCGGTTGAGTACTCCAGAGTCCAGCCAAAAGGTGCTGCCCATCAACTCCGTTGATGACGAGCGGAAGAAGGAGTTGCTCGCGTTCTTCACGGTACTCAAGCGTTGGGAACACTTCCTCCTCGGGCGTCGTAGGTTCACTTGGGTGACCGATAATAACCCATTGACCTACTACAAGACGCAAGACACGGTAAGCAGCACGATTGCTCGGTGGATGTACTTCATCGATCAGTTCGACTTCACACCGAAACACATTCCGGACCTCTCCAACCGAGCCGCGGATGCTCTCTCGTGAAGATCAGATCTTCGCGCAGTAATTCACCACACGTTCAGTTTTGACAAAGCCCTGTGCGAGCATACAAGTCCGATCCGGAATACGGCATGCTCTACGAACAACTATCCTCGGATCACCCGCTAGCCAGCCATTATCGCATCGTCGATGGCTACCTGCTGCTTCACTCACGAGGCAAGGGCTTACTATGCGTCCCACAGGACAGTCGCTTACGGACTCGTCTCCTTGACGAGTACCACAACTCGAGACTCGCCGGCCATCTCGGAGTCAACCGTACAATCGCAAGACTTCGGCAGTGATTCCGGTGGCCTGGCCTCATTACCAACGTCACTCAGTATTGCGACTCTTGCGAAGTTTGCTGACGAAGCAAACCCCGCAATCGCAACCACTACGGCGAGTTACGCCCGTTGCCTATTCCACGGGAACCCGGCCTCTCCATTGCCATGGACGTCACTGGCCTGTTCCCCCGTGACCACTTTGGGCATGACGGCATTCTCACGGTCGTTGACCGTTTGAGAAAGTGCGCACGATTTCTTCCTTGCAAGTACTACGCCACGGCTCCGGAACTGGCACGCCTCTTACACACAGGCTGGATTTGCGGCCACGACGTTCTGGAAGACATCATCAGCAACCGCGACACTCGTTTCATGTCGGCATTTTGGACCTCTCTCAGTCCAACACTGAGATGAAACCAAGTTCGGCTCGGCATCCGCAAACAGACGCGCAGACGGAGCGGGCACATCAAACCGCTCAAGTAATGCTTCGCACACTCATCCATACGGATCAGAAGGATTGGATGGACCGCCTCCCCGACATCAAATTCGCCTACAACACTTTGGTGCACCCAGTGATGTGCTTGACTCAGTTCGAGTTACACCACGGTGGCCGGAAGGGCCGCATCTTCGTTGATCTTCCTTTTCCAAGGACTGCCGACATTGACGCCGCATGTTCGCCCGCCTCCGTTCGAAAGTATAGGTACTTGCTGGCTTAAGCCCACGCCAACATGCAAAAGGCTCAAGTCCGCATGCAAAAAAAAGCTAACAGGCGTCGCGTGTCATGCCCCATCCGCGCCGGCGACCTTGTTTGGGTCTCCATGGAATAGTTTGCACTTGAGCAGGATGTATCCCGCAAGCTACTTCCAAAGTGGTTTGGACCAAGGCCCGTCACATCAGTCGCGTGTGATGAGCCCGATGMCCCTTCATTTGTGATCGAAATCCCGCCGCATCTCACGGTGCACCCGGTCTTCCACGCCTCCAAGCTGGCCACATAGGCCCACATATACACCAGCCAAGAGCGACGACTTCCCGGGACGACGATCACATAACCCTCCTTCCATGGATGGTCATCAAGAAGTCAACCGCGTCATCACACATCGCAAGCACGACAACAAGCCTATGCAGTAAAAAGTCACATTCAAGTGGTGCGACCCCGATGACACGCAATGGATTTCCCGGGCAGCTTCGCGGGCCTCCGCTCCTGACATCTACGTTCATTATGAGAAGAAACCGCTAGCAACGGAAGCTGCACAACCTTCCACCCGGACTTCAGTCCCTCCCTCCACCAGACAGCTTCGCCCTCGCAGGTAAGCTCGGTCTTTCAAGTAGGGGGGAGTGTGGCATACTCCCTACCACACAGGCCCAGCAGAACCCGACCTGGTAGACAAGGGTCCGTAGGGGTAGAGCCTGTTCGTTTCAGCTTAAAAGCCTGAAACGAGGGCCTACAGGCCCTGTGTCGTTTCGGCCTCCAGCCTGATAACGACGGGCCATTTTCAGACCCTCGCAAGATCGACCTACCCTGAAACTCAGGCACCAGACCGGGGTTTTAGCTCAGGCCATTATGGCCCATTTTGTGGAGCATCAACCCCAGGGTCTGGTATGTTTTGGCATAGGCACGAGCAGCCTCCCGGACGGGCCCGCACTATATAAGGCTGACCCGCCCTGTAGGCTGCAGGCAGTTCCCAGGCACTTCACATGCAGAGGGCACGAGGTAGTCTTCAGGACTCAGCAGCGGCACTCCGGAGTAGAAGCGATAGCAGTAGTCTTCAGCGCTGGGCGCTAGTAGAGTGGGAGATATGGTTGGCGGAGGCCAGTGAGACTCACCTGCGGCGCCATAGCTCCAGCTTCGTCTTCGAGGTACCTGCAGCAAGGCGCCACCTTTACAAGTTAGTATCGGAGAGAGAGAGAGAGAGAGAGAGAGAGAGAGAGAGAGAGAGAGAGAGAGAGAGAGAGCTTCTTCTTCCTCTTCTAAGTCCGCCATCTCTTC